AGGAAGAGAGGAGAACTAGCCCCGCTGTACATCGGGGAGGGCTGTGTGGAGAGAGTCTCTTCCTTTAAATTCCTAGAAGTATATCTCAGTGAAGACCATAAAGGTAAAGGGACCCCTGACCATTAGGTCCAGTCGTGACCGACTCTGGGGTTGCAGCGCTCATCTCGCTTTATTGGCCGAGGGAGCCGGCGTATAGCTTCTGGGCCATGTGGCCAGCATGACTAAGCCGTTTCTGGCGAACCAGAGCAGCGCATGGAAACGCTGTTTACCTTCCCGCCAGAGCGGTACCTATTTATCTACTTGCAGTTTTACATGCTTTCGAACTGCTAGGTTGGCAGGAGCAGGGACCGAGCAACGGGAGCTCACCCCATTGTGGGGATTCGAACCGCCGACCTTCTGATCGGCAAGTCCTAGGCTCTGTGGTTTAACCCACAGCGCCACCCGCATCCCTTAGTGAAGACCTTACTTGGAAAACAAATAAAACCCAGGTGGTTAAGAAAGACAACAGAGACTCCATCTCCTCAGAGTATTGCGGAAGAACAATGTCAATCAACATTTGATGATCTCCTTCTATCGGTCCACAATAGAAAGTGTCCTTTCCTACTGCATCACAGTGTGGTACGCTGGTTTGACATCATCTGATAGGAAGTGCCTACAGAGGGTGGTGAATACAGCACAAGATATTATGGACTGTCCCGTGAATCCGCTGGATGAAATAGCGGAAGAACATTGCCTCAGGAGAGTGAGGAAAATTCTCAGGGATGATTCACACCCTGGCCGGCACTTTCTTGATCTCCTGCCCTCGGGCAGAAGATATAGAAGCATGATAGTCGCACCAACAGGGTAAAGAACGGCTTCTATCCGTGGGCTGTTAGGCTGCTGAATGAAAAGATAACAACAGGGCAACTGACTTTTGGGTTTGGTGGGTGTGCGTCAGTAAACGAGGGGAATTAAGACTAAGAGAGCTGAGTGGGGGGTGCTCGTGTAATCTCACTGTATACAAGTTGTACAAGTGACAATAAAGTATTTCAGTTCAATTTCAATTTCAATACTGCTTGGTTGTTTTTCCCCCCAATGCAATGCCTTTCGCGAGCCCAAGGCATCTTGCAAAAACAATGCAAAATTGACCCACCTGGAAAGAGAGACCAAGTTACCAAGCCAAGGATGGCAGGTGGAAGAGATTAAAAGTGTCACAAAAATAGAGGCCAGCGAGATCAGTTCCTGAGAAACATAAAAGGTCTCCCACCTACTGTGAAATGCTTTCCTGGAGGGAGGGATCCAGTGGATTCCCTGGGGTTTGGAATTACACCATGCAGCTGCAGCAACGGGCATAGACTGTTCACTAAATCTGACCAGCTGCACTTCAGATGATGGTGGTATAGAATCATAGAATAGGGGAATTGTAGAGTTGTAAGGGTTCCTGAGGGTCATCTAGTCCAACCCCCTTCAATGCAGGAATCTCAGCTAAAGCATCCATGACAGATGGCCACCCAACCTCTGCTTGGAAACCCTTGGGGTCCCATCAAACCCTACAATTCTATGATCTGATTGGATAAGGCAGGCTTAAGGTGGTCCATGAAGTTTATGGTCCTATTCGGTGGGCTGGTGTGGAGGACTCCCTGGTCCTGAATGGGGTAACTGTGCCCCCAAAGGACCAGGTGTGCAGCCTGGGAGTCATTTTGGACTCACAACTGTCCATGGAGGGGCAGGTCAATTCTGTGTCCAGGGCAGCTGTCTTCCAGCTCCACCTGGTACGCAGGTTAAGACCCTCCCTGCCCGTGGACTGTCTCGCCACAGTGGTGCATGCTCTGGTTATCTCCCGCTTGGACTACTGCAATGCACTCTACTCTACCTTTGAAGGTGACACGGAAACTACAACTAATCCAGAATGTGGCAGCTAGACTGGTGACTAGGAGTGGCTGCCGAGACCATATAACACCGGTACCGAAAGACCTACATTGGCTCCCAGTACGTTTCCGAGCACAATTCAAAGTGTTGGTGTTGACCTTGAAAGCCCTAAACAGCCTCAGTCCTGTGTACCTGAAGGAGCGTCTCCACCCCCATCATCCAGCCTGGACACTGAGGTCCAGTGCTGAGGGCCTTCTGGCGGTTCCCTCCCTGTGAGAAGTGAAGTTACAGGGAACCAGGCAGAGGGCCTTCTCGGTAGTGGCGCCAGCCCAGATGTCAAGGCAATAAACAACTATTTAATAAACAACAACTTTTAAAAGACAGTTGAAGGGAAGTTTTTAACGTCTGATGCTGTATTGTTTTTAATATTCAGTTGGAAGCTGCCCAGAGTGGCTAGGGAAACCCAGCCAGATGGGCGGGGTATAAATAAATTATGATTATGATTATGATTATTATTATCATCATCATCATCATCATTATTAAAGAGAAGCCAAATACTTTTTAGAAACAGATATACTCCCCCCTTTTATTTCTGACCTTCAGGGTACAGGGTTATTAAAACTAGGACTAGCCGCCTGAGAAACAGTTTCTATCCAAATGCAATTTTGGTTTTAAACGCAGTGTAAGGTAGTCTCTATGGGAGTATATTGTATTTAATTATGGGGTATCAGAGTTTTTAACCAGGCTGGGATACTTGGGATAGCAGGTTTGTTGGTTTTTGAATGTCTGATGTAGATTTTTTTCAATTTTGTTGTTCTGTATGGGACAATGACAATAAAGATTATCGTATCGTATCATTGAATATCAATGCTTCTGTAGCACCACCAGCAAATCCTGGGATTTGCAGGAACAAGGAAACCCAAATCTTTAGGGAAAACAGTGAAGGCTTGGTGTGTTCAACGTCTACAGAATGCCGGTTGACTGGCGGTGGCGATGGAATGGAGTACGCTGAGAAGGAGCACTCATTTTATCACGGTTCCCCATTGTTTTTAAGATGTTCCCAAATTGTGTCCTTTTGCCAGGAAGCCTCCAAATGGGGCTTTCTGGAGCCACCTGCAGGCAGAAAGTAAGTACAGCATGTGAAAGAAACACTGGCGATCGATTGATAGGATTAATGTAGAAGATGATTTGCTGATGGGCAAGGAAGAATGGTCCCTTAAATATTGCACATTGGAAAGAAGATAAAGTCCCTATCCAGAGAAGAATGGCAGATCAAGTTGATGGATTATGCCAAAATGGCTAAAATGACCAGAAGAATCAGAAATCAGGAAGACCAGCATTTTAATAAGGAATGGGGAATTTTTAAAATAATTTATCTTAAAAACCATTGTAAACAGTTAAAATCATTAGTAGGATTGGAATAACACTTGTAGTTTAATGGTGAATTTTGGACACAATGGAGAGGTTAAAGATTTGGATTGTTATAAAAGATGCAGGAAGAAATGATTAACAACAGGACCCACAAAGGGGAGGATGGAAGTCCAGGTGACTCCCTGGAATCTTGTTTTTAATGTTGTATGTTGGATATGTGATTGTAAAATTTTAATCTGAAAAACAAAATAAGTAAATTTATGTGATAAATATTCCACATTCCCTCGCACATTCTATATTAACTGTGCAAGGTTCCAGCTCCCATTAATGGGATTTTTTCTGGAAGCTGCAGCATACTAATAGAATTCCCTCTTGCCCTTGTAACTTAAGGAGCCCATGTGGTGTAGTGGTTAGAGCAGGCATAGGCAAACTCGGCCCTCCAGATGTTTTGGGACTACAACTCCCATCATCCCTGCCCGCTGGTCCTGTTAGCTAGGGATAGTGGGAGTTGTAGTCCCAAAACATCTGGAGGGCCGATTTTGCTTATGCCTGGGTTAGAGGGTTGGATTAGGACCTTTTTAGGCCGGGGTTCAAATCTCCACTCAGACACCATGTGCCAGTCACGCTGCCTCTCAACCTACCTCGAAGGAGGGAGATTAAGTGAGATTAAGTTGCGGGGGATTAAGTGAGGAGGAGGAAGAACCACATCTGCCACCTCAAGCTCTTCGGAGAAGAAGGCGGAATGTTAATGCAATAAATAAACAACTAATGATAATAGTAATAATAATAATTTATTATTTATACCCTGCCCATCTGGCTGGGTTTCCCCAGCCACTCTGGGCGCCTTCCAACAAAATATTAAAATACAATAGTCCGTCAAGCATTAAAAGCTTCCCTAAACAGGGGTGACAGCAGTCACGAAATTAAAAGATGCCTGCTTCTTGGGAGAAAAGCAATGACAAACCTAGACAGCATCTTAAAAAGCAGAGACATCACCTTGCTGAAAAAGATCCGTATAGTTAAAGCTATGGTTTTCCCAGTAGTGATGTATGGAAGTGAGAGCTGGACCATAAAGAAGGCTGATCGCCGAAGAATTGAGGCTTTTGAATTATGGTGCTGGAGGAGACTCTTGAGAGTCCCATGGACTGCAAGAAGATCAAACCGATCCATTCTGAAGGAAATCAGCCCTGAGTGCTCACTGGAAGGACAGATCGTGAAGCTGAGGCTCCAGTACTTCGGCCACCTCATGAGAAGAGAAGACTCCCTGGAAAAGACCCTGATTTTGGGAAAGATGGAGGGCACAAGGAGAAGGGGACGACAGAGGATGAGATGGTTGGACAGTGTTCTCGAAGCTACCAGCATGAGTTTGACCAAACTGCGGGAGGCAGTGGAAGACAGGAGTGCCTGGCGTGCTCTGGTCCATGGGGTCACGAAGAGTCGGACATGACTAAACGACTAAACAACAACAAAACAGGGCTGCCTTCAGATGCCTTCTAAAAGTTAGACAGTTGTTTTTCTCTTTGACATCTGGCGGGAGGGCGTTCCACAGGGCGGATGCCACCACCGAGAAGGCCCTCTTCCTGGTTCCCTGTAACTTGGCTTCCCACAGCGAGGGAACCGCCAGAAGGCCCTCGGCGCTGGACCTCAGTGTCCGGGCAGAACGATCGGGGGGGGGGGGGAAGACGCTCCTTCAGTTAAACGTACCCCACTCTAGTGATATAATGCACTTTAATTCTAAAAAAAATGCTGGCAAACTCTGCTCGACGGCATAGGTACCTAACATGTCTCTTTCCTTCTCCCCGACGCAGGTCATCCCAGACTGGAAGGAGCAAGAGTGGTCGTCTGAGAAGCCGGAGAACTATGCCGGCATCTTCCACTTCCAGTTCTGGCGGTTCGGCGACTGGGTGGACGTGGTGATTGACGACCGCCTGCCCACGCTGCACAACCAGCTCATCTACTGCCACTCCAACTCCAAGAACGAGCTGTGGTGCGCGCTGGTGGAAAAGGCCTACGCCAAGTGAGTGAGGCAGCGTGGACTAGTGGTTAGAGTAGCTGGGCTACGACCTGGGAGACCAGGGTTGAAATCCCCAATCGCCCATCACGAAGCTTTCCGGCCAGGGAAATGACTCCCACCTGAAGTCCTGGGGGGCTGCTGGACCAGAGGGCTGACTTGGCAGCTACCTGTTGTGTTCCTCTGGTTGTGAAAACCAGGCAGCATTTGTTAGGTAGATTTATTGCTTTATTGTTCGGCGTCCAGCACACTTCCCCCTGCAGGCCTCTGCAGGTCGTAAAGCAATTAGCAGAATTGCACAGCGTCCGTGTTGAAAGGGCAGTAAAACAAGTCCCACACGTTTCTTCTGTCCTAATATCACTTTATTTGCTCAAAAGTAGCATATTTACAAACAAGAAATTCCATCTGATTCAAGCTGCATCTTCTCCCTCTGTTTGCAGCTGCGTAACAAAACTGCTTTCACTTTACACTCAGCTCACAGCATTCCAAGCTGCTTTTGTCACGTCCTGGCTTACTTCCCTTGTAAGCGCCTCCTCTCAGGTTTGAGGCACAGAAGGTTAACCCTTCACTACACCCAACAGCATTCTCCCTATTTTGAGGGGCAGGGGGCTTATTGGGACATTGGCATTAGTATCTTTCCCTCTCCCTCACACTGCCCCACCAGCCATGTTTTCTTAAAAAAAGGTCGTTTGGCTATTCCTTTTCTGGATGACCTGGCCAGCAGCCATCATGTTTCTCTGTAATACCTCAATTCCTGTCTCGGCACCTAGACCATCATGCCCTGACAGTGTGTCGCCCTGGATACACCGTTGACAAAAATTAAAAAGATGTGAACTCATATTTCCCACTTGTTAACAAAGTCACTTCAATGACACAGAAAGAAAATAAATCCCGAAGGTAACTTGGCTGAGGAAACTGAACAAATCAATATACAGTAAAATTTGAGGAGAACCAAACAGAGGTTTTTGTCTTTCGTGGTTCAGGCCTTGTACGTAGCCAGGAAGGCATTCGGTCAGACGTACAGAGAGAAACCTCCCTCAGAACGATGCAGCAAATCCGAACTCTGTTTGGCCTGGCTATTAATCATTGCCATCACCTCCCTCTTGGTTCCCTGAGAACAGAATTAACCCTAAAGTTACGTGCAGAATTATCTCCGCTGCTGAACTTGCAACGCCTCTTGCTTCTAAGCATTTAAACGCAACAGCTGTGTTTGCTATTAGAGGGCATGATATGTGGCATAGTGGTCTAAACCACTGAGCCTCTTGGGCTTGCTGATCAGAAGGTCGGTGGTTCGAATCCCAGCAATGGAGTGAGCTCACGTTGCTCTGTCCCAGCTCCTGCCAACCCAGCAGTTCAAAAGCAGGCCAGTGCAAGTAGATAAATAGGTACCACTGCAGCGGGAAGGTAAACAGCGTTTCCATGCACTCTAGTTTCCATCATGGTGTCCTGTTGCGCCAGAAGCTGTTTAGTCCTGCTGGCCGCATGATCCGGAAAGCTGTCTGTGGACAAAGGCCGGCTTCCTCGGCCTGAAAGCTAGATGAGCACCACAACCCCATAATCACCTTGACTGGACTTAACCATCCAGGGGTCCTTTAACTTTTACCTTTATGTGGCATAGTCTTGAGCTTACGCCATGGGTAGGCAAACTAAGGCCTGGGGGCTGGATGCGGCCCAATTGCCTTCTTAATCCGGCCTGTGGGCGGTCCGGGAATCAGTGTGTTTTTACATGAGTATAATATGTCCTTTTATTAAAAATGCATCCCTGGGTTATTTGTGGGGCCTGCCTGGTGTTTTTACATGAGTAGAATATGTGCTTTTATTTAAAATGTATCCCCGGGATATTTGTGGGGCATAGGAATTCCTTCATCTTTTTTTTCCAAAATATAGTCCGGCCCCCCACAAGGTCTGAGGGACAGTGGACCGGCCCCCTGCTGGAAAAGTTTGCTGACCCCTGGCTTACATCATGCCACTCCACAAACAGGGCATAATCTTTGTCGCGCCCCGTGTTCTTATTCTCCTCTTCCCCACTGCGTAGACTCTCGGGATGCTACGAGGCCCTAGACGGAGGTAACACGGCTGACGCTTTGGTGGACTTCACTGGCGGCGTCTCCGAACCCATCGACCTGCTGGAAGGCGGCTATGCGAATGACGAAGCCAAACGCAACGTCCTCTTTGAGCGGGTGTTGAAGGTCTACAACCGGGGAGGTCTCATCAGCTGTTCCATAAAAGTAAGCAGCCAGCAGTTCTTGTTGGCGTAACCGCAGGAGGGTGGGCCTGATCATCTCCTGAATCTTAAGCGGTTCCCAAGAATCTGGCGCAAGATGTAAGCCTTGCTTAACCCATTAGGATTGGTGTCCACAGAACCACGGAATTGTAGAGTTGAATGGGACCACAGCGGCCATCTAGTCCAACTCCCTGCAAAGCAGGAATATTCCACCCAACCTGGGACTCGAATCCGCAACCCTAAGATTAATAGGATACAATAACCTATTAGACATTAAAAGCTTCCCTAAACAGGGCTGCCTTCAGATGTCTTCTAAAAGTCTGGTAGTAGCGTGTTGCGAAAGTAAAATGAAACGTAAAAACCACCACCAACAAAAAAACTTTAAATATATTAGAGGCAGGGGACTGGTGAAGTCTTTAACAGGCACCAGAAGGCATAATGCTATTTATTCCCCTTTCAAGAAGGGCATTCTAGTTTTGGTGCCACCACTGATCAGGCCCTGTTCTTCTGCCTCACTTTTTCTGACGCCTCGGCACTGAGGTGTTTGCTGAAATAATTCGTTGCCGAGCCTTGAGTGGAGGCTCACAGCTTTTTTTTCATCCTGGCTCCTTAAAATCCTCTAGCCCCATGCCAGTGTCCCTTGGGCGGATGTTTCTAAGCGCACCGTTTAATTCTTGTGCTTCCTTTGTCCCCTCGGCAAGGCCACCTCCGCGGCCGACATGGAAGCCCGGCTGGACTGCGGCCTGGTCAAAGGACACGCCTACGCTGTGACGGACGTGAGGAGAGTCCGCCTGGGCCATGGCCTGCTGTCCTACTTCAAGTCCGAAAAGCTCGATATGATCAGGCTGAGGAACCCCTGGGGGGAGAAAGAGTGGAATGGACCCTGGAGTGACACGTGAGTATGTCTGGGAAAGTCTACCGGAAACGGGGGCCACCTTGTCTAAATGGCTTTGGCCACGTTCGTACTGATGGGACTGTGAGGAGAACCTGAGCTTGCAGGGTTCTCCTGTAAGCAAGAAAGTCTCATTGCGCTGGCCTCTACTGAGACTGAGTTCAGCGCACTGTCGGATTTGTGCCAGGAACTGGAGTTCTATAGATGCCTGGTGCAATCCCCAATCTGTGGGGATTGTAACTTGCCCATCACTGTTTGGGAAGACAATCAACCCTGTCTGAAGCTGGCAGAGTCTGGGCAGTTTTAAGGCCAAAACCCAGCATCTAGACATATGATTCCAGAATGTGTGTCAAAGTATCCAGTCAGGTTTGATATGGCTGAAATATGGTGCAAGCCTCAATAACCTGGGTGATGGGTTCACTAAACCATTGAGCTTCCAGCGTCATGGGGAGTTCTGTGGTGGTTTGAAGCATAGCTGTCAACTTACAGATTTGAAAATAAGGGACCAGCAGCCTGTACAACTATGTACAGACACGTTTGTGCGATGTTCTGTGCGTTACTAGATAATGGTTAACCTACGCTGTAAATAAACTGCTTTTAGTTTAGTAACACTGCCTGAGAGCCTGATTTATGCACACTGATGCACAGAAGACAGAAAGCCCAGCTCCTGAACGCTGTGTGTTTACTCTGCTTTGCTTTGTGGTCTGGAATGCGGGCTACGCTCAGGGAAGCTTGCTGGACTTTATCTCTCTGAGCAATAAATCTTTCTCAGAGGGACAAACCAGTTCAGATGGCAGCACGCTGTCCTTCCGTACAAAAAAAATAAATAAAAATTGACCTCCCCGCACATAGAAGACTAGCCTGTCAGGGAAGAAAAGATGCTGGGCTGTTTTTTTCTCTCCCTGGCATTTACTTCGCTGTGTGGAAGGAGAGAGAGAGAGAGGCATCCCATTATATTATATTTTTCATTGTGGTCTCACTGCCCCCCTGGAAGCATGTTGTGGACTGCTGGTGGCTCCCAGACCCCAACTTCATTGTTCCTCAGACATTATAAATACTATAGATATAAGCTGGTTCCACACCTACACACACACCCGGCCATTGTTTCCTTGAAATCAATAAAAAATTACATGTACCGTATTTTTTCGTGTATAAGACGACCCCATCCATATATAAGACGCCCCCTATTTTTTGAGCCCAAAATTAAGAAATAAATTTGTTAATATATTTCGTTGCAACATTCCGTGTATAAGACAACCCCCAATTTTAAACTTTAAAAAATTGGGGGGAAATATAGTCTTATACATGGGAAAAAAACAGTAATATGTATGAGAAAAACAACCCATAACTACTTACTTACTTAAATTTGTATATTACCCTTCATCCGAAGATCTTAGGACAGTTCACTGCATAAATGCACCAAATAAAAAGGCCAAATGCATAACAATAACCAAACCAAACCCCATACTCCCCCCAAAAAAAACATTTAAAAGGACAATGAATGTTAAAATTGATGATAATTGCAGCCAGACAGGTTATAGCGAGTAATTGGAAAAATGCAGAAGAGCTAGGGGTGAACCAACGGAGGGAAAAATAGAAAAATATTATAATCTTAGAATATCTAACTGTGAAGATACATAAAATGAAAGGGTTTAAGGTCAGTGAGAAGGAGGAGGATTGGTTTGAGAAGATACTGAATTATTTGGGCAGGTTTGAACAATTTGGGGCAATTAAAATGTTGAAAGTTAAATAAACCTTATGGAGGGAGGAGTGTTAAGGTATATAGAATTGTACATATGGTTGATTTGAATATGTTGTTATTGATTATGTATACCCAATGTATCAGCCGCCTGGAGGTTTTCACTGTTTGTTTTCACTGTTTGTGTTTTGGCTGTTGGTAAAAAAAAAATTGAAAAGAAAAAGGACAATGAATGTTAATCAGCCACAGGGCTGGTTGACAAGAAACATTTTCTTTTCTTTTTTTAATAACTTTTTTATTCAAAATTAAAACAAAACATATTATCCAGAAACATATCATCCTTATTTCCCCCCCATTTTTCCTCCCTCCCCCCCACAGAACCCATCCCCACCCCCCAACTTCCCTCAGTTCCAGTCTTTGGTTTCTCCAATAATGCTATTTTCTGCATGTTACACAGTTGTATAGATCCTGAAACTATTTAGCTGATTATTATCAATAAGAAGTTTGTGATTGTTTATTCAAAGCCAGCCAAGGAGTCCAGTTCGCTTTGTTGCGTCTTCAAATACTTTGTAAAGGGTTCCCATTCATCTTTAAAGTCACAGTTATCCTTGTCCCGTAGTTTATATGTCAGTTTTGCCAGTTCTGCATAGTCCATCAATTTTTCTTACCATGATTCTTTAGTTGGGGTTTCTTCAGCCTTCCATCCTTGTGCTATTAAAACTTTCGTGGCCGTTGTCGCATACATGAAGATGTTTTTCAGCTTTTTTGGCAGATCTTTCCCTACAATCCCAAATAAAAATGTTTCAGGGTTTTTTTAACAAACGTTAAATGGATCATTTTCTTCAATTCGTTGTATATCATTTCCCAAATTTTTTAATTACCTTACAATCCCACCACATATGATAAAATGTCCCCTCCTTTTCCTTACACTTCCAACATATATTTCAACTAGTCTTGTACATTTTCCCTAACTGCCCTGGTATTGTGTACATCATCTTCATGTAATTCTCCTTCAATAGGGAGCAATCTGTAAATTTTAAATCAGTTTTCCATAATTTTTCCCAATCTTCCATCATAGCGTTGTGACCTACATCTTGTGCCCAGTTAATCATGACAAGAAACATTCTCGCCTGGTACCTAAAGATGTAACCACGGTTAATATGATTTCTAAATATGTAACCATGGTTAATATGATTTCTGTGTTTCCCCTCATGCGTCCTCTTGTCGTTTCCGCAGCTCAGAGGAATGGCAGAAAGTCAGCAACAGCGAAAGAGAAAAACTGGGAATGACTGTCCAAGACGATGGGGAATTTTGGTGAGTTGTGCATATGAAGCAAAAGCGGATGATTCTTTATCTCTCTCATCATAGCCCAGTGCAACTATCAGGTCTTTTCCTCAGTACAAAAGATGCCAATCCCAGATTTAAGTTTGTTACGGGGGTGCTGGGTTTTGACGCAGAAACGGGCTTTTTTAATTTTTAAATTTCTTTTCCAAAGGTCTTTATTGAAACTTAATATATATACATAATAACCAAAATCCCCAATGATTCCCTCACATAAAATATAATATCTAAATCACAACAGCTACGTAATTATACACTAAATTATAAATCCCACCACCAACTCTCTACTTTCCTCCACAGCAATTTGACTTCTTTATATTTCTTTCTACCTTTTCCCCTTGCATTCCATAATAAATTATTTTTGTTAAATTCTGATTTTTCCTTCTTTCTTTATGGGTTTTGTTATTGCTAACATTTTTTTATTCTAAGCCTATTAGCATGTCGTTTTTAGCACAATACTTTGACATATAATCTTCAAATTACTTCCACTCCATTCTTAAAAAGTTAAGAAGTTAAAAAGTCGGGGCTTTTTAATTTAGGTTGGTGGGGGGAGGATGATTAAAGGGAGATGTGACGGAACTGTACAAAAATGATGTACATTGTCAAGAAAGTGGATAGAGGGAGGTTTCCCTCTCGCAAAATAGGACAGCGCGGAGCAGTGGTTAGAGGGCTAGACTTGGTCACAGTAGCCAACCAGATGCCTATAAAAAGCTTACCTGAGTGCAGGAGGGCTCTGTGATTTCCAGCAATGGTTACAGTGGTACCTTGGTTCTCAAACTTAATCCGTTCCGGAAGTCCGTTCCAAAACCAAAGCGTTCCAAAACCAAGGCACGCTTTCCCATAGAAAGTAATGCAAAACGGATCAATCCATTCCAAACTTTTGAAAATAACCCCTAAAACAGCAATTTCACATGAATTTTACTATCTAACTAGACCACTGATCCATAAAATGAAAGCAATAATCAACGTACTGTGCTATAAGATAAATAAGACAGTGTTGTAGATGATAAAAACAAAAATTCAATATTTTTCATACCCTCACTGATGATAGTCGTTGTTTGGATGGGGGGCTTTTATCCATTTCTGTAGTCACGCAATCAATCAATCAGTAGCTGAACTGGGTTCCAAACAGTCACAAAAACAAATGAACCGAAAAAGCCTCAAAAACAAAAACGCAAAATAAATAGCAAAAACAAAAGCGCCAAACTTAATCCGTTCCGGAAGTCCGTTTGACTTCCGAAATGTTCGAAAACCAAGGCGCAGCTTCTGATTGGTGCAGGCGCCCCGGAAACAATAGCCGACAGCCGCATCAGATGTTTGGCTTCCGAAAAACGTTTGAAAACTGAAACACTAAATTCTGGGTTTTCGGTGTTTGAGAACCAAGGCGTTTGGGAACCAAGGTACTACTGTATACAGAAACATTGCTTCCTCCAGCTGTGGAAGCAGGGCAGAGCCATTGTGGCTTCTAGCCATCAATAGCCATTTTGCAGGTCACAAAATCATAGAATTGTAGAGTTAGAGGGGACTACGAGGGTCATCTAGTCCAACCCCCTGCAATGCAGGAATTTTTTGCCCATCCTGGGGCTCGAACCCACGACCTCAAGATGAAGACTCTCATGCAGTCGTCCTCAGATAGTGTTTCTGGGTCAGATTCAGCTAGCTGAAGTATCTTAAAGGTGGCGCCACACCAGAAGTAAGGGATACAAGGCCCGTTTAACCTGGCCAGGCTTTGAGTCGACATTCGAACTCTTTACTTACTTACTTATTATTGATTGAATTTATATACCGCCCTATACTCGGGGGTCTCAGGGCAGTTCAAGATATAAAACCACGAAATACCTGGGCATCAAGATATAAAACCACAAAATACCTGGGCATCAAGATATAAAACCACAAAATACCTAATGAAAATAAAAACAACAACCCAATAGCCCCCCCCTCAAAAAACACACCCTAAATTTTGAAAGGGCATACGATGTCAATCAAATCAACCAAAGGCCTGGTTAAAAAGGAATGTTTTTGCCTGGTGCCTAAAGGCGTATAATGGAGGTGCCAGGCGAACTTCCCTGGGGAGAGCATTCCACAGACGGGGAGCCACTGCAGATAAGGCCCCGTTCTTGTGTTGCCACCCTCTGGACCTCTCGAGGAGGATGATCTCAGGGTCCGGGTAGGTTCCTATGGAAAGAGGCTGTGCTTGAGGTATTGCAGTCCTGAGTCGAGATTCGAACTCTTCCCCACCGCAGGATGACGTTCGAAGACTTCTGCAGGTACTTCACCGACATCATCAAGTGCCGCCTCATCAACACGTCGTACCTGAGCATCCATAAGACCTGGGAAGAGGTGGTCTTGCGGGGGGCCTGGACGAAGCACGAAGACCCCTTGAAGAACCGCTGTGGGGGCTGCGTCAACAACAGGGACACCTTCCTGCAGAACCCACAGGTGAGGCGGCAGTGAGTGGCAGGTGAGAGGGGGAGCAAGGTGTTCCTAAGGGGGCAATGCTTGTCTCTGCCACTGAGACTACCTTCCGCTGTCTGCAACGACTCAGGTTGCAAAGGGCAAAGAAGGCAGCAGGATTCTCCGCAGCTCACTTTGGTATGTAATATTATTATTATTATTATTATTATTATTATTATTATTATTTATTATTTATACCCCGCCCATCTGGCTGGGTTTCCCCAGCCACTCTGGGCAGCTTCCAACAAAACACTAAAATACAATAACCTATTCAACATTGAAAGCTTTCCTAAACAGGGCTGCCTTCAGATGTCTTCTAAAAGTTTGGTAGTTATTTTTCTCTTTGACATTTGATGGGAGGGCATTCCACAGGGTGGGTGCCACTGCCGAGAAGGCCCTCTGCCTTGTTTCCAGTAACTTGGCTTCTCGTAGCGAGGGAACCGCCAGAGGCCGTCGGAGCTGGACCTTAGTGTCTGGGCTGAACAATGGAGGTGGAGACGCTCCTTCAGGTATACTGGACTGAGGCCGTTTAGGGCTTTCAAGGTCAGCACCAACACTTTGAATTGTGCTCGGAAACGTACTGGGAGCCAATGTAGGTCTTTCAAGACCAGTGTTTTATGGTCTCGGCGGCCGCTCCCAGTCACCAGTCTAGCTGCTGCATTCTGGATTAGTTGTAGTTTCCAGGTCACCTTCAAAGGTAGCCCCACGTAGAGCGCATTGCAGTAGTCCAAGCGAGAGATAACCAGAGCATGCACCACTCTGGCAAGACAATCTGCAGGCAGGTAGGGTCTCAGCCTGTGTACCAGATGGAGCTGATAAACAGCTGCCCTGGACACAGAACTGACCTGCGCCTCCATGGACAGCTGTGAGTCCAAAATGACTCCCAGGCTGCACACCTGGTCCTTCAGGGGCACAGTTACCCCATTCAGGACCAGGGAGTCCTCCACACCCACCCACCTCCTTTCCCCAAGAACAGTACTTCTTTCTTGTCAGGATTCAACCTCAATCTGTATAGATTAAGTCTGTAGAGGAAAATCTGGAAAAAATTAACCGTATTAAGAACATTAAGGATAAGCTATGTAAGATGCAATGTAAACAACAACTCTAAGACTAAGAGATGATGAGTAGTGGGAGAGGGAAGTCACATGGGTATATTATTATGTAGTATTCTATATTTTTATTTTATAATTCTAGTTGTTTTAACCTGCTGGTCACCAATTCTTATCTCCCTGCTCTAATTCTGGCTTGCTTTTATATTGATTGTATTTTGATTTTATAATTTTGTATTTTAGCTATTTTTAAACCGCTGGTCTATGACCGTAATAAACTGATTGATTGATTGAAGGGTGCTAAGTTCCCAGAGTCCCTTTGGAAGGGCGGATTGGCTGTGAAACTACCCTAGGAATCGCAAATCTGGGAGAGAAACAGGAGTCTCCTAAGAGCTCTCAGCTTATTAGAAAGTACAGGGCAGGCATAGGCAAACTCGGCCATCCAGATGTTTTGGGACTACAATTCCCATCATCCCTGTTAGCTAGGGATGATGGGAGTTGTAGTCCCAAAACGTCTGGCAGGCCGAGTTTGCCTATGCTTGGGACTGAGAGACTGGGGCCAGCTTAAGCAAGGAACATGAGAACGTAGGAAGTTGCCTTATACAGACTCAGACCATTGGCCCAATTAGCTCAGCGTTACCCACACAGGCTGGCAGCAGCTCTCTCCAGGGTTTCAGGCCGGAGATCTATGCCAGCCATGCCTAGAGAACCCAAGGATTGAATCTGGCACCTTCTGCATGCCAAGTGAAGGCTATGCCAGTGAGCTACAACCCTTTCCGGAGCTCAGGCTGGGTAGAGACGGGGAAATGGCCTGAGACCTCCGTCGAATCGGGAATTCCCCGATTTGTAGCTCAGCCTCTTAGCCAAGTGCGGGTGGCGCTGTGGGTTAAACCACAGAGCCTAGGACTTGCCGATCAGAAGGTCAGCGGTTCGAATCCCCGCGACGGGGTGAGCTCCCGTTGCTCGGTCCCTGCTCCTGCCAACCTAGCAGTTCGAAAGCACGTCAAAATGCAAGTAGATAAATAGGTACCGCTCCGGCGGGAAGGTAAACGGCGTTTCCATGCGCTGCTCTGGTTCGCCAGAAACGGCTTAGTCATGCTGGCCACATGAAAAGCCAATAAAGCGAGATGAGCACCGCAACCCCAGAGTCGTCCGCGAGTGGACCTAATTGTCAGGGGTCCTTTTACCTTTACCTTTACTCTTAGCCAAGAAGGCGCGCCAGGGAACGGTGGGCGCTAGAGCCCCTGGCTTGGAGGTTGCCAACCAACTGCCCCCCTCTCAAAATTAAACCCGTCTCATATTCCATTGCTTTTCTTTCCCGCCCAGTACGTTTTTGACGTGAAGAAAACAGAAGACGAAGTGCTCATTTGCATCCAACAGAAGCCGAAACAGACCAATCGGAAGGAGGGAAAGGGGGAGAACCTGGCTATCGGATTTGACATCTATAAGGTCAGCAGGGTGTGTTTGTGTGAACCGCTGGCCTGTTTCTGCTTCTTGCTTCTCACCGTTAGTAAAAAAAAAAAAGAAGAACATCAAAAAGATGGATTTATTTTACATTGGATATTCTTAGACTGAAATAATTGTTACAGTGTACATAATAAAAGAAATCTATGATAACTATATAAATATGTATTAATTATTATTATTATTACTATTATTATTATTATTATTATTATTATTATTAATACCCCACCCATCTGGCTGGGTTTCCCCAGCCACTCTGGGCGGCTTCTAACAAAAAATTAAAATACAATAGTCTATTAAACATTAAAAGCTTCCCTAAACAGGGCTGCCTTCAGATGTCTTCTGGAAGTCTGGTAGTTGTTTTTCTCTTTGACATCAGGTGGGAGTGTGTTCCATATTACATTGGTACCTCGGGTTACATACGCTTCAGGTTCCATACGCTTCAGGTTACACACTCCACTAAGCCAGAAATAGTGCTTCAGGTTAAGAACTTTGCTTCAGGATGAGAACAGAAATCGTGCTCCGGCGGTGCAACAGCAACAGGAGGCCCCATTAGCTAAAGTGGTGCTTCAGGTTAAGAACAGTTTCAGGTTAAGAACAGACCTCCGGAACGAATTAAGTTCTTAACCCGCGGTACCACTGTATATATAAAAATATAATAACATCACAAAGAATAAACATCAAAAGATAGGGAGAGAGAGAAAAGGAAAAAGGAAAAACAAACAAACAGCAAAACCGAAAAACTATTAAAAAAATAAAAATATCAATCGACAGTAAGCAGTGTTCAATATATTCAGATTTGTTGATTTGTTGACTTCCGTCTATACTTTGCTGTTTCAAGTCAACTACAGTATTACTGTTTTTAATCTATGTTTCATTATTCGTCCCCACCTTGGGCTATGAAATTATTTTTCTGTCTGTGAAATGAATATAGACACAGACACAGATTATTGGGACCAAATTTCATCAAATAATTTTTATGACATTCCCATTCTTCTTTAACCTTATCTGCTGATTGGTAGATTAGGTCCTCTTTTAAAGCCACCTGGGTTGCCTCATGTGGCAGTGAGTTCCGTAGTTTCACACTCTCTTCTTCTTCTTTTCTTTCCTGTGCTTCATTCTGCCCAGGTGGAGCTGAATCGGACTTACCGGATGCACACCCTGCAGCCCAAGGTCGCCAGCTCCATCTACATCAATTCCCGCATCGTCTTCCTGAGGACAGACCTGAAGGAAGGGCGCTACGTCATCATCCCCACCACCTTCGAGGCCGGCCACGTGGGAGAGTTCCTCCTCAGGGTGTTCACAGATGTGCCTTCCGATTGCCAGTAAGCTGCTCTCCATGGAGCCTTTTGATCCTGGCTGGGACCATATTTGCACCTGTCTGCATTTGATTTAAATCAAATCGATTTAAATCATGATTTAAATCACTAGTCAGTATGACTTGATTTAAATCACCAGTCAGTAAGACTTGATTTAATTATTATTATTTTTACAGAAAGTGGATTGAAATCAAATCGATTTAAATCACTAGTCAGTAAGACTTGATTTAAATCTTTTTTTTTATAATCTTAATATTTACAACCAGATGAAGGTTTCATTTTTGGAATAATAAATTTTCAGACTTGATTTAATTTTTTTTTTTAATAATCTTAATATTTACAACCAGATGAAGGTTTCATTTTTGGAATAATAAATTTTCAGACTTGATTTAAATCACTAGTCAATAAGACTTGATTTCAATCATATATTTTTTTATAGAAAGACCCATTCTTGCTGGTATAATCTTAATATTTACAACCAGATGAAGGTTTCATTTTTGGAAGAATAAATTTTCCAAAGAATAGTTTTTATGGTTTTATCAAACCATTTGGTTATGCTATTAGAAACACAAAGACAGGTAATTATGAAATTGTTGTTTCTATTTGGACAACTTTTCTGCTGTGCTTGATTGGAAGGAGAAAAATAATCATTTCCTTAAGAACAATTTTAACAACTTATTTAACTAAAACAATAAAATTATATATATATATTTTTTAAATGATATTTATTAAAGTTTCACAAAAATACAGAAAACAAAGAAAAAAGTGTAAATTACAGCAAAAAAGCAAAAAGTAAGAAAAAACATACAAAATAAAACAGTTAAAAACACAATAATGTTCCATAACCTATCTTCCTTACTCTTATTTCCCCAGACCTCCTCATACCTCCCTTCTTTGTATTCCAATTCAGTTTGTTGGTTCAGCAAATCCTTACCATTAATCTTTTACCCAATTGTTAACCTTTTTTTTTTCATGTCTCTTAAAGCATTACAGCTAAAAACCTCTTAATTTCTATCGATCATCCTTCTAAAGTTCCTTATTATTACATTATTTCTGTAAATAGTCCTTAAATTTTTCCAGTCTTCTTTCACCGACTCTTCTCCCTGGTCTCGGATTCTGCCAGTCATTTCCGCCAATTCCATGTAGTCAATCACCTTCATCTGCCATTCTTCCAAAGTGGGTAGATCTTGTGTCTTCCAATACTTTGCGATAAGTATTCTTGCTGCTGTTGTAGCATACATGAAAAAGGTTCTGTCCTTCTTTGGCACCAGTTGGCCGACAATGCCCAAGAGAAAGGCCTCTGGTTTCTTCAGAAAGGTATATTTAAATACCTTTTTCAGTTCATTATATATCATTTCCCAGAAAGCCTTAATCTTTGGGCACGTCCACCAAAGGTGAAAGAATGTACCTTCAGTTTCTTTACATTTCCAACATTTATTATCGGGCAAATGATAAATTTTTGCAAGCTTGACTGGGGTCATGTACCACCTGTATATCATTTTCATAATATTCTCTCTTAAGGCATTACATGCCGTAAACTTCATACCTGTGGTCCATAACTGTTCCCAGTCAGCGAACATAATATTATGTCCAACATCTTGTGCCCATTTAATCATAGCAGATTTCACCGTTTCATCCTGAGTATTCCATTTCAACAGCAAGTTATACATTCTTGACAAATTTTTAGTTTTGGGTTCTAACAATTCTGTTTCTAATTTTGACTTTTCCACTTGGAAGCCTATTTTCTTATCCAAATTATATGCCTCCATTATCTGATAGTAGTGGAACCAATCTCTCACTTTATTTTTTAATTTTTCAAAACTCTGCAGTCTCAATTTATCTCCTTCTTGCTCCAAAATTTCCCAATATGTCGGCCATTTGGCCTCCATATTGAGCCTTTTCAGAGCTTTTGCTTCCATTGGTGACAGCCACCTTGGGGTTTTATTTTCCAATAAGTCTTTGTATCTTATCCAGACATTAAACAATGCTTTCCTAACAATATGATTTTTAAATGCTTTGTGTGCTTTGACCTTATCATACCATAAGTATGCATGCCATCCAAATACATTGTTAAAACCTTCTAAATCCAAAATGTCTGTATTTTCAAGAAGTAGCCATTCTTTCAGCCAGCAGAAAGCTGCTGATTCATAATAAAGTTTAAGGTCCTAAAACAATAAAATTATAGCACATGTATTCATGTTTGTTAACTGATGTGGTTAAACGATTTTTCCCCCCAGAAAAAAATACTTAGACTGAGTTTTGGCACACATGAAAAACTTTAAACAAACCCTTATTTCCTGATGAATAGCCTATAATGTAACTTAAATAGAAAACTATCTTTAGAAAGATTTTCCCCCCAAAAGCATTTTATTTTAAAAATCTGATTTAAATTTTAAAAATCTGATTTAATTTTTTTTTTAAATCCGATTTTTATTGATTTTTCTTTTTAAAAAATCATTGATTTTTATCCACCCTGTAGGGAGCTGACCCTGGATGAGCCCCCGCACACCTGCTGGAGCGGGATGTGTGGCTACCCGCAGATGGTTTCTCAAGTCCACGTCGTCTCGGCTTCCGGGCTGAAGAACCAGGATTCGCAAGAAGGTGCAGGGCCCCGATCCAACCCCCATTTCCAACCACACCCACGCGACACGCCTGAAATCTGCAGGGGGGGGAGGAGGAGGAGGAGGGGGCACAGCTGTCAACTTTTCCCTTTTCTTGCGAGGAATCCTATTCGGAATAAGGGAATTTCCCTTGAAAAAAGGGAAACGTTGACAGCTAGGAGAGGGGGAGAGTCGCTTCAAAAGAGCAGGGGAGCTTTGGGCCGCTGACAAACTGGACTCGGGGCTTCAGCAACCACTGTTGTCGTTTTAATTCAGGCGCGGACCCCTACGTGATCATTAAATGTGAAGGCGAGAAGATCCGTTCACCGGTGGTGAAAAGCACTGTGACACCAGAGTTTGATGTGAAAGGCCTCTTCTACCGCAAGAAGCCCGGGCAGCCCATAGTCATTCAGGTGAGGTTTCCTTTATCAAAGGATCATAGTACTATAGCAGGAACATCCACGTGAAGCTGCAGCCAAGGCTGTTCATCCGTGGCACGATTCCGCAGAAGTGGCGATGAGCCACAGAATGAACCCAGCTTCCTAAACCTTTAATTTCCATCGCTCTCCCCACCCTCTTCCTTCTCGAACACATTGCTTTCCTAGGCTACTGTAGTTCTTTCAGCTTCTGCTGCGGACTAAGAAGGCTGTTCTTTTTATCGCAGCCTAACCATGTGCAGGGACGCGGGTGGCGCAGTGGGTTAAACCACAGAGCCTAGGGCTTGCCGATCGGAAGGTCGGCGGTTCGAATCCCTGCGATGGGGTGAGCTCCCGTTGCTCGGTCCCTGCTCCTGCCCACCTAGCAGTTCGAAAGCACGTAAAACTGCAAGTAGATAAATAGGTACCGCTCCGGCGGGAAGGAAAACGGCGTTTCCGTGCGCTGCTCTGGTTCGCCAGAAGCGGCTTGGTCATGCTGGCCACATGACCCGGAAGCTGTACGCCGGCTCCCTCGGCCAATAAAGCGAGATGAGCGCCGCAGCCCCAGAGTCGGCCACGAATGGACCTAATGGTCAGGGGTCCCTTTACCTTTAACCATGTGTAGCTTTTCTCTTCAATCATGAGGGCTAGGTGCTTAGTTTTTTAGATTTTGGTTGGTCGAGGTGTGCTAGGTCCACCATGGATGCGAGCGGATGCACGCAGCCCTGGTCTGTGGGTGCGTTCCTTCTCCGATGATCCACCAACTTTTGCTTCTCTCCCTCCAGGTCTGGGACCATAACCTTATCAGCGACACCTTTCTGGGCCAGGTGAGCCTTGCAGGTGACCCAAACAACCTCCTGTCGATGCACATCCTCCACTTGGAGGACAAAGGCAGCAAACGCGTCAACGAGCTTCCGGGGACCCTCAAGGTGCAGTTGCTCACCAGCAACGTCCTGACTAACATCTAAAAGAAGGACGGTTCCCTTCGTGCCATCTGTACATCCGATCTCGCAATATGCAGCATATACGTTTATCTATATCTGTACCTGCATCATGTACTGTGCATGCCTTCACTTTTAAAAGGGGACCAGCGCGTTCGGTTTTGTTTTGTTTTGATTTTCATACAACGGTGCCTTTTCAAGAAGTGGGAAAGTGTTTTCAAATACAAGTCCCGGGCGTAATTTTACTGCCAGCTCTGGGCCTCTGGGCAGTATAAAGGAGTCCCACTCGGGGCTGTATGTTTACACAGAGAAATCTGTCTCTCATGCGCACATGCGTGGCTGGGCTTGGGCTTTGTACCCAGCCTGGGGAAAAAACCACATATTGCCAACCTGGGCGAAGGGCTCATTTCTTAATTCCCATATCCCCGAGGGTGCTGTCCCCAAAGGTGGGAAAAGGCAGGGAGGAGACGAGGCCTCGCTTGAAGGATGCTCAGGAAGAAACACCAGGAATTTGTTGCTTCGATGCTCCCTCCATGCACAAGTTGGGGCAGGCAAATTCTCTGCCCAGGACTTGCATCTGTGTTCTGATTTTGTGGCAGGCCGATAAGTCTGGAAAGTCTCGTACTCTGATTTAGATTTCTGTTTTTTTCTTCCAAAAGAGATCAAGGCTCTAGACCTCATGGGTGCAAACGTGTGAGCAAAGCCAACTGAAATCCCAGAATGCCATATTTCCTGTAGCAGAACGGTGGAGCTTTTAGTGGCTCATGTCTGTCGCACCCGTTGAGTAGCAAAAACCCAGAATGCAATTGTACAAAATGAGAGGTGAATATTTAGACAGAAAGTCCATGATTGCCAGAGGTTGCAGAATTGGTTCAGGATTTCAGCTGCGTGGCTACATAAGCATCGCCATTTCCTGGGAAATCCTGAGCAAAAAGGGGGAGGTGGGTCTCATAAAGGGAATATAGAATGGTCTGGATATGCAAGACCTGTTGAAATGTCTCTGTGTGGGAGAGTGGTGGAAAGTTTTTGTATAAAATGCACCGTCTGGAGAAAGTGGACAGGGCGAAGTTTTTCTTCCTCTCTTTTAACTTGGGGACAATTCGATGGATGTAAAGAGATTCAGGCCAGTCAAAAGAAAGTACCGTATTTTTCGCCCTATAGGATGCACTTTTCCCCCTCCAAAAATGAAGGGGAAATGTGTGTGCGTCCTATGGGGCAAATGCAGGCTTTCGCTGAAGCCTGGAGAGCGAGAGGGGTCTGTGCGCACCGACCCCTCTTGCTCTCTAGGCTTCAGGAAGCTATCCGCAAGCCTTGGGAGCCCGCAGGAGTTCCCGCTGGGCTCCCACGGCTTGCAGAGAGCTGCCTGCATCCCAAAGCCTGGGGCTCGGGCTTCCCCTTCCTGGGGGGGAAATATTTTTTTTTTCTTTATTCCCCGCCCCCCCCCAAAAAAACCAGGTGCGCCCTATGGGCTGGTGCACCCTATGGGGCGAAAAATACGGTATTTCACACAATGCATAGTTGGAACTACGTAAGTCGCTACTACAAGGTGCGGAGACACCCAGTGACTTGGGTGACTTGCACGTGACTTCCAACAAGCGTTGAACTTCCATTACCATTTACAGTTACCATAGCAAGCAGTGGTATGGCTCAGTGGTTAGAGCATCTTCCCTGCATGCGGAAGGTCTCGGGTTCTGTTCCCAGGCAGGGCCGAGAAATATCCCTGCCTGAAGCCCTGGAGAGCAGCTGCCAAGTCAGTGTTGACAATACTGATCTAGATAGACCTTCCCATGTTCCTATGCACCCTTGGTCTCGCATACTGCAACCATATGGAACGTGCCTGCTGTTGATTTCAGACGGCATTGTACGTGCAGCAAAACCAGGGCAGTAGAGGGATCACTTCTGTTATGTATTTCCCATATAAGAGACACTCCCTGCTTGTAGAAAACTAGCCTCATGAGCAAGAACGGCTATCTCTCTGATGTTCTGCGTGCTAGATTTCTATATGCAAGGAAGGTTTGATTTTGATTTTTTTTTTAAAGGTGATCATTTTGGAGAGCCTTAGCAAAATGTGTTTCTGCATTGAAATGGGAGGGAATTCCATCTGGAGAATTCAACCACAGATTTAATTCTAGCTTGTGCATTTCAGGGTGGTGTGTTTGTGTGTGTGATGGGAATATTGCCCGTAATAAATAAGCCATAACATCAATAGGGCTTTCAATTTAATCTGTTTATTGGGACCAAAAATACCTTCAGATGTTTACTTTGGGGTTTGTTTGTTTTTAAATAAAAAGAGCGGCTCAAATGTTTATTATTCTAGCCAAAACTTCCTTCGCTGTTTCCGCCCATTCTTTAGGGACATAAGATTTGGGCTTTTGGTACTTGGAAGCTGTCATTTCTTAGTAAAACTGAGATTGTTTTCAGAGAGGAGAATGACAATCGGGATCGGGCATGTGATCCATAGGTGATGTTTCTGATTTAAGGCCTGCTGGTTCCATCAGTTGTTTTTTGTACTTTATGAAGTCTTATCACTTGCACTTTATCCAATAAACTCCCCGTGACGTGTATGAATGCAAACTGAGGAAATGTATTATTGAGAAGTTGCAATTTTAGAAAATGTTGAAATTGACTGGCTGTATGAGATTTGCAATTAAAAGCCAAAAAATGGCTGAGTCTTATCAATAAATTACTTGACCTTGAGTTTTCTTTTTTTCTTTCTTCCCCTCCACGCTTTCACACATCATTTTCACACGCACACAAGAAGAGCATTTCAAGATGGATGTGTGAATAGGGCTGAGCTAAAATCACCCCCTCAACTTTACAGCACTAGGTTCACATAGATAGCCATGTTGGTCTGACTCAGTCGAAATAAAAAAATAAAAAATGTCCAGTAGCACCTTAGAGACCAAGTTTGTTCTGGGTATAAGCCTTCGTGTGCATTCACACTTCTTCAGATACACTGAAACAGAAGTCACCAGACCGATTACGATATGATTACGATATCTTTATTGTCATTGTCCCTTGCGGAACAATGAAATTGAAAAACTACATAAAACTACATAAAACTACCACAAAAATACACAAAACTACATAAAGACTGCATAAAACTACTACAAAACTACATATATATATAGTGGGAGGGTGGGGCGGGGGTTTTCTCTGGAGGGTAGTAGGAGATGGGTGATTGACTCAATGGGTATGGTAAACCTGCTGATGACTGTAGACCTACAGGAAAAAGCAAAGGATAGTATGCAGATGACCAAAAATAGCTTTAGCACATGGGTAGGCAAACTAAGGGATGCGGGTGGCGCTGTGGGTTAAACCACAGAGCCTAGGACTTGCCAATCAGAAGGTCGGCGGTTTGAATCCCCGAGACGGGGTGAGCTCCCGCTGCTCGGTCCCCACTCCTGCCAACCTAGCAGTTCAAAAGCACGTCAAAATGCTCAGGAAAGCACTGTTTAATGTTTGGATAAGATATAAGGATTTATTGGAAAACAAAACTCCAAGGTGGCTGTCACCAATGGAAGCGAAAGCCTTGAAAAAGCTCAATATGGAGGTCAAATGGCCAAAATATTGGGAAATTTTGGAACAAGATGGAGACAAATTGAAATTGCAGAGCTTTGAAAAATTAAAAAACAAAGTGCGAGACTGGCTTCATTATTATCAGATAATGGAGGCATACAATTTGGATAAGAAAATTGGCTTCCAGGTGGAAAAATCAAAATTAGAAACAGAACTGTTAGAACCCAAAACTAAGAATTTGTCAAGAATGTATAACTTGCTGCTGAAATGGAATACTCAGGATGAAACGGTGAAATCTGCTATGATTAAATGGGCACAAGATGTTGGACATAACATCATGTTCGCTGACTGGGAAGTGTTATGGACCACAGGTATGAAGTTTACGGCATGTAATGCCCTAAGAGAGAATATTATGAAAATGATAACCCCAGTTAAGCTTGCAAAAATCTACCATTTGCCTGATAATAAATGTTGGAAATGTAAATAAACTGAAGGTACATTTTTTCACCTTTGGTGGACGTGCCCAAAGATTAAGGCTTTCTGGGAGATGATATATAATGAATTAAAAAGGGTATTTAAATATACCTTCTTGAAGAAACCAGAGGCCTTTCTCCTGGGCATAGTCGGCCAACTGGTGTTAAAAAAGGATAGAACTTTCTTTATGTATGCTGCAACTGCAGCAAGAATACTCATCGCAAAGTATTGGAAGACACAAGAGCTACCCACACTGGAGGAATGGCAGATGAAAATGATGGACTACATGGAATTGGCGGAAATGACTGGCAGAATCCGTGACCAGGGAGAAGAGTCGGTGGAAGAAGATTGGAAGAAATTCAAAGATTATTTACAGAAATATTGCAAAATTAATGAATGTTAGAGTGATGTTGGATTGAAATTAAGTGGCTTCTAGCTGTACAGGCTTTAAAGTTATAAATATATTAAGATTAAGGATTAGGACTAAAAAGGTTAAAAAAAGGAATTGCTGGACTAACAAACTGAATTGGAATACAAAAGAGGGAGGTATGAGGAGGTCCGGGAAACAAGTAAATCTAAAAGTAGTGATGAAAAGATGGAATTGTTTTTAACTGTTTTTTCTTTTTTCTTTTTGTATTTTGCATTGTGTATTTTTCTTTTTCTTTTTGAATTTTTCTTTTGTGTGGATGTGATTCTTTCTTTCTGAAACTTTAATAAATATCATTTAAAAAAAAAAAAAGCACGTCAAAATGCAAGTACATAAATAGCTACCGCTCCGGCGGGAAGGTAAACGGCGTTTCCGGGCGCTGCTCTGGTTTCGCCAGAAGCGGCTTAGTCATGCTGGCCACATGACCCGGAAGCTGTACGCCGGCTCCCTTGGCCAGTAAAGCGAGATGAGCGCCGCAACCCCAGAGTCGGCCATGACTAGACCTAACGGTCAGGGGTCCCTTTACTTTAGGGAAACTAAGGCCTGGGGGGCAGATCTGGCCCAATCGCCTTCCAAATCCAGCCCACAGACAGTCCGGGAATCAGCC